ACACAAGTAGATATAGTTAATTTCATAATACATAAGTAGCTACATGCTACACCCGAGATAGCGGGTGTAGCCATTCGTATCTCTTTCTCCAGGTAAGTGAGAATCAGTCTCATTATCAGTCAATATGAAAGAGATATGTAGTTATGTGGTTCCCATGAGTTTGGTAACCACTCGTACTTAGTCTAAAAAAACATAAAAATATGAAATTCAGAGTTAAAATTCACCTTAGTACACTAGTTCTGCGTGATTCCTTACGCTTCCTCGCAAGGCCTATAATGTGTGTAAGTAACGGAGCTTTGGCCCCATTAAACCTAGTAGCACTTTGTAGTCCTTACAACAAAATGAGCGCTCCGACGATACAGAGCCTTAACGGGGGGAGGGGTGTTGTCACACGATGACTTCGAACATCTGACCTTCTTCGAGTATGAAGCTCTGCGTCACCTGGCCGGTTTGACCGGCCTTACTACCGTTGTTGCCATGCTCAAAGATACGCTTGATGGGCCTTAACGTTTAGCCATTCAAGACTTCGTCAACCACGAGCTCGCCGAATTACGCCCGAAAGCTTCAACTCCCGCAGTTGTCATGGGGTCTAACGTCATTAAACTCGACGTTTCGAGTTGCAGCGGAGACGACCCAATGCGTCTCGCACTCAAATCGCTGGCTTTGTGAAGTGAAAATCGCTGTCCAATCCTGCCAGCTAACGAAGAAGTCTACGCGTACCCACTTCCTCTTGTCCAAGCTGTCTGGAAAGGCAAATGAGTGGCCATTGGGTAAGCTTATTGCCAATACCTGATGTTTCCCTCATGTAGAATTCTACATTGCAACTTGCTGCCAGCACCATCATGTTTAAACCTTACTAAGCGCAGCATACTTTCCAGCGCGATGAAACTGATTTTTGCCGCGTTGGTCGCATGGTTAGCTGAGAACGCAAGATCGATGTTGAGGATGTCTATTCCAAACACGGAATGCGACTCAATTCTCGGTTTTTCCGCACTGAGAATACAAAAGTGCAAAAAGAATCTCTAAAACCAATCTTCATCGCACATAGAGATTATCGCGGTGTGCGTCAATACACCGTGTCAACGACCCATCAGATTTGCATAAAGAGTAATCACGGACAGATAATCGAGTAAACATGCCGGCATCCCGAGGGAGGGTACGTGAGGTACCGTCGAATTTTTTTTCATACCGGGGAATTTGCACGCTCCCATTGTCCAGAACCTTCACATGCATTGCCGGGTGGTCAAGAACGCTGAATTAGCTCTTCGGATCCAAGACTTGGATACTACGTTTCTGGCCTAATACTCGCCACGAATCATGATGGCGACTTTTTTCTAAAGTGGAAAAAAAGTGCTGGAAAAATTTACAAAAATACAAGTGGTCAATAAGGGAATGTTCGTGATGTTGTTAGTACATCACTTTTCCGGTAAGCCGCAGGCTCTACTCTGGTGGTTTTCTTTCGTCAATTCCTTAAAGTTTCAGCCTTGCAACCATACTCCCTTGGAGCCAAAGACTTTATTTTTTTATACGGTGCTGACAAGCTCATTTAAGGTAAGCGACTGCCAACCCTAAGTCGGCATAGTTTATAATTAAGACTACTGTACAATGATATTTTATAATCTTCGATCCTTTAACGTTCGTTTTTGATTAATAAAACGTTATAGTGGACGCTATCCCCTAAACTCATCTTTGAGCAATCCAAGAATTGATGCTGGAATATGAATACCTCCAGCTGTGCTTATTCTGGCGTAAAATCAACAAAATAGACCACCAAGGCTGTATCTTATTATTCCATGCTAATGTATTCAACAAAGCAAACGCTTGCTTCAAACACTATAAATATACATAGTAATTGAAAACAAGCCCACAAATTTAATGGCAGAATGGCTGCCTCACAAAAGTACCTCGAGCATCCATAACTACGCACTCACAGAGGGATTTTGACCAGTGCTCTACTTGCGGGAACAAAGATTAACAAAACAAAACACATCGTTACAAAAATGCTAGACTTTTAGTTCGACGTGTCGATACACGGCAGCAAAGATGTGGCAAATTTCGGAGCTTTTGCATTTTCACCTGACCGAAGGCAAACTGTTTAAAAAACCGCTCTTCTCCAAGTGGGTCGCTTTCGTAAAAGGCGAGGATTGAAGCCTTTCAACATTAACTGCGTCCTTTTAGCACTCCTTCGAGATGTCTCCACACCGGTGAGATTAGCTATCGTAGTTCCATCAATGGCCGCGCGCGTCTTGGTGAGAACGTCAGCTCGCATAAAACACGACTCACCTACACCACCTTGATCACTTCCTTTTGCTGTAATCATTGATGAGCTTGAGGCATACAGCGATCTGCTTTGCTCCACCTGCGCTGTCTTCACCTTGTGTTTGCGTCATTGCAGCTTAATAATCGACGTGCATTAGCATCGGCTTGGTTACAAGCAATTCAATTTCACCAAGCACTAGCTTTTAATCAAACCTAGCGGGTCGCTCGCCACAAGTGATGCTGCCACAAACTCGGCCTCCATCATAGATAATGCCATGCTCACCTATTTTTCGACACATCCAGCCTGCAACCGTACCATTCAAGCATATCACCCTTCCATTCACAGATGCGGTCCCTACACAATCCGCGTCGCTAAGGCCTTCACGAACATTTTCCTGTACTTCATTTATAATTGTCAGCCATATCTTAAGCTTCCATCGATAATCCTCTACAAATAGCAAACCATTCGTTTTGTGCATCGCCAGTCACACTGTATTCTGCAATATAGAGCAGCGACTGTGTGACAGTGAAAACACGTTTCTCAAAACAGTCGATATGCCCACAATAAGGCTAATTGCGAGATGAGCTGGAAATAATAATTTTAACCTATCTTTCTTCTTTTTTGAATTCAGAATCCATTGTCCGTGATATTTGATGCTAGCAACCTCTTCCCTGATGGCAGTTACGTACGCGTTAATCGAGTTTTTTTTATAAATGAGAGTGTGGCTGTTGGCTAGAGTAAATTTGATCCGCACTGATAACCTGCGATAGGCAGAGAATTTAGCGCACGTTGCGCAGTCAACGGATATGGGAGAGAGTAGGGCCGAGAAGTTCTTTACAGCGTGCAGGGTACAAAGTCGGACGCACGCAAGTGCTACACGTGCGGAAAGGCGGGGAAAATTCAAGGCGGAGTGCTTTGACAACACAAGGAGTTTTATGATGCTGACTTACTGGAGAACACAGAGGACTATGCGAGCGAGTGTGTCGCCGGCGATGGAGCAGCACTACGTCATGTACTGCACTTATCAGTGTATCAGTAACGGGACAGACTGTCAAGCTGCGACCAGTATGCTGAAAATCTGAAGAGGGATATAATAACCTACGGTCTACTTGAGGCCAAGCGATATGGTAGCTCCTAGCGTGTGTGACACCGTGTCATTACTGGTATGAATGTTAAATCTGCTTTTTCTTATGTCAAGATTTTAAAAACGTTCTCTTCGTGCATGTACTGGGACGCAATCGAGCAAAGAGTGTTGGTGACGTCTTGATGTCTGTGTTGACGCAGAACGAGGCAACAAACAAATTGCTCTCGCTGACGTAAATCAAGCAAATTTTATAGCATGTGCTTAAGGAACGCAAACATAGAATCGACAGTCATGCAAGGATACGACAGCACCTAGCCCATCAACATGATTGGTAAAGATGCATGATCGGACGACATGGGGCCGATAACTGCTAAGACCACCTCGGTAACCGGTACATAGAGAACTTTTATTATCACCGTCTACATACTGCGGGACTTTTTGAAGGATATCGTAGCCCAATTATAAAGAGTATATCATGGCCTTTTTTGAGATACAATACAGCTGCCGAATTCGCGTTTCAAAACGGAGGGAGGTGGCGAGCATCAGATGTTGGATTCGTGTATCAAGGAGCCGGTTTGCGCGTCAAGTACGTGAGCCACGGAATCAAGCCTAGCAATGGCAAAGCCAAGGGGATGCGTCGCACCATAATGAACAGGGTGCGGCGCATGATTTTGCGTGTGGCTTACAGGTAATATTTTGCGAAGACGCTGCTAAAGTGCTCCTTAAAGGTTTAAGAAGAAATTTTAAGTTAGGCCGATCCAGGCAGATAGTCACCACTTCAAATGCGACAAAACAACAAGACGAGATCTTGGGAAACAGTCGTATTTGGCCCGCCTAGGACGGTACAATGTAACACGATGAATAAAACGCTGGGTGAGAAACCCAAAGCTGTTTTATTATTGGCAGAAGTGACGAGATTAAGGAGATTGAGTCTACATGTCAAGGGAGTGGCTGCAGTAGTAGTAGCTGCAGAGGCGAGTCTTCGACACGGATTATGTAATGGGAAGGACATCTCCAACTTCAAGGAGATACGACGGCAATATAATCTTAAAAGGTGGTATTGCCGAATATAAAAAGTTAGTATAATATTGTCGAGCATTATCAGCTAAGATAATATTCACATTGACACCTCATGTTATGCCAATGTTATGTAACGAACTCACCCCGTTACAGATTAGCTCCTCAAAGTCAGCGATAAGCAAACTTGCCTTGTTAATATGAGGATCACGCCGTTATCTGCAAACGTTTCGCAAAGTGGCAACTCCGGACATGTTTGTATTGCTTTTTGTAATGTACTTAGAAAAAGCAACCCGTCAGACACTGGGCAAAAGCTCAATATGAATATAATTGTTAGCAGAGTGCTGAAGCCGCATCGGAACAGATGCCAAACTGACTTTGCAAGATGAATACGTGACTAATCTTTAAGGGCGGGGGGTAAACTGCGCTCCATGAAACTGTCATTAAAATTTCAGAAGTTGCTACCAAGTCTTAGGAAAACACCGAGGCCATGCAACCGTACTGAAATGTTTTACCATGTAGCAGTATCGCTACGAAACATGCCTCCTATATTTCGTCGCACTCTGGCTTCAATTAGTTAAGTACACTGCCGGTTGCTTTGTTTCGTTCAAATGTATGTCAGCTCGATCAGTCATTACATTACGACGGCACGTAGCGCCAGCGTGCTCGGGCGTCCAAGTCGTCTTTCTGGGCATGCTGACGAAGCAGCTCCTTCTTCTCGCGTTGCCGCTCCTTTTTGCGGCGATTTTCCCGCTGACGTTTTGTGAGACCATCAACCAACGGCTCAACCGGAGAAGCCGCTTGCACACGACGCGCCTGGCGTTTGGAGGTGCCCACCACTTGCCAGCCATCATCGTCCGATGCACTCGATCCAGAGTCTGACGCCTCCCCTTGCACTGCAGCCACTTCTTCCACTTTTTCAGCTTTCACAGCGCGAAAAGCATCATTTTCCTCATTGTCTACGTTCTCTTTACTCTTTGTCGGCTGTCGTTTGATGAATTCGGCCGGGACTCGATATTCTACCTCTCCGTCGTCATATTTCAAGTGATACTCATTGCCTTTGCGTTGTTCCATGATAGTAGCTGGGAACCACCGATCTCGACCTTGATATCTGGCCAGTACATTCTGGTTCACTGCAAATCTGACATTCTTAGATGGCAACGAAGCTTTGATGTTGCGGGCGAGACGGTCGCCACCGAGACTCGCGGGCTTAAACTTGCGCGTGGCCAGCACCTCCGCGGCCGAGCGGTCGTCATCAGAGTCACTGTCACTCATGTCATCGATTTCATCTGCTTGATCTACAGCCACGGGGTCTTTTTCTAATGCTGCAGGCGTTATAGACTTCTGTGGAAGCTCCTGAAGAGGTGACACCGAGTCAGAAACTGCAGATTTCTTGGCAAGTTTCTTCTTGCCGCGTTTTTTAGAGCGCTTAGTTGAAGGCCCCAATGCGAACGTAGTAGGCTTCTGTAGCCATTTATAGAAGAAGAGAGATAGCGCCGAGAATAGTAGCGTCAGCACGAGGCGAGCGAAGAATGACAGCTCCGCCATCATTCGCTTCTATGTTTTTACGATAGGCAGAAAAAGAAAATGTTGCAATTAAATGAGAAGTCTCATATTTATTCGACCCATAATCAGATAATTGTCCTAAGCAAGCAATAATTGATCTTGGTTAGCAGCTCTTGAATAATAATGAGGCTGCTAACCAAGATCATAATTATGCAAGAGCTAATCTTTGTAAGCAGCCTCATAATTATGTAAGAGCTGCTTACCAAGATCAATTATTGCTTGCTTAGGACAATTTTTTTCAATGTCCGTTATATTGCGAACTTTTCACAGAATTGATAACTGTTTTTCAACGCTTCGATTGAGGAAAAAATAGTCGGTAATACGCAATGTAAAAAAACTTGCAATAAAAGTATAGTGCAGTTTTCCATTAGCCCTAAAAAGCCTTTGTCTACTGAAATTGGCATATGTAGACATGCGCCCGCATAGGAATTAAAACATACACTTCGTTAGTGACGATGTGTATGTTTTAAAGAGTTTCATATTGGCTTAGAAATCGCACGAATTGTTCAGCAACTTTTTGACAGCCTTTGCTTCAAGGTCGTATCTATTGTAGCTATTATTCGTATGACGAGAGAGCATGCACCTATCACTGCAATGAGCTTTAGTGGCTGCAGCATTCGTGCATTGGTCACGACGAGATCACCATCAAGCAGTGGGCGTAGGTAGTTGTAAACAGCTTCATCGGCATTAAGCTTAGCAAACGATATTTGTTATTGGCGACCCTCGAAAGCAAAAACTTGCCGCCAACAACATTAGATCCCATTCCACGCCGACAAACTGTTGGGGGTGGACGATCTACTTAAATGCTGGCTCGAGATGAGGGACTAGAAAATGGAATGCCACCGATCTTAAGTGGAGATGGGCTAGTGAGAGGTGCCGCGAAGAAAAATGACGTCGACGACCGCACCCAGAGCAGTGCTTACTTTCAAATTCGACGTTCACTACTCAGCAGTCTCCTGCAAGGCAAGCTTAGCCTTGGTCATGTACTCCAACATTAGTCGCACAATGTGGCAGCAGCCCACACCCCTCAAACGCACATTGCCAACGCCCCAATCTCAGACCTCTATTCAGGAGATGCAGCAGCAATCGTTTCAAAGTGGCTGGACCAAGGACACCAGCAGTGGTGTCGGCTACAGCACAGGTACCAATCAGGATCAACGCGTGTACGTCTTCTCACCAACGTTATCTTCAGTGCCAACTTCATTGCCTCCCTACGTATGGACGGACGAACAGCCACCATCTGCTCGAACCAACCAGTTTCTGCCTTCACCGACGTATCCGCTCCCTCTCATGGCCGTCTCAGAGCTCGACGTCCGAGCGCAAGGTATGCAACTGCAAATCTACCAGAAGTCACATGCGCAGACAGTTATCCATCGCAGCAAGCAGATCGCAATCGGCCGCTGGAACAGTGAAGAGCATCAGTGGTTCCTTAAGGGACTCAATATGTTTCAAGTACCAGCGTGGAGCGAGATAGCCCGCCTCATTGGCACACGAACGCCAACCCAAGTGCGAACCCATGCCCAGAAGTTCTTCACCAAGCTGGCGAGATTTAACCAAACGATGCCCTACTTCGAGGTGAAAATACAGAAGGAGCGAGCTCGACTCGTGGAGAAAGGAGCTAGCGTCACTTCTACTGCTCAGATTGCATCCAATGCATCCCTGTCGGCCACTCTGTCGCCTTTCAAGCATTTAACTAACAACAGTCCTCGACAGTCTCTCATTCAGTTTAAGGAGAAGACGTCTCCGACGCTCCAAGCCCAATATCCGCAGAAAACTCACGACATCAAGCCTCGACTCTACGCTGACAGTGCGGTACGATACTCGTCGATGATGTATCCATTGTTAGCCAAGGAATGGACGCAACAATAAACGTCAAATGACGCCAGACAATGGCCATTGACGTCCCCAACGTCAAAAGTCACAGCGTCACTTCAAGTGACAAAAATACAGATGGACAATAGCCGAGAAAACAAGACAGAATCCGATGCCAGCTCACTGTCACCCATGAACAAACCGTTTTAAGCACTATTGCTTCTTGATGTCTATGCTGTTTGTAGTGCCTCTTCTACCTCTGATGATTTGACAAGTCTTACCACCAAAAGTAATCAATGAATCTTCGTCAATTATAGCTTCACTGATTGGTGGAAAGTTTCACCCCTTGCGCCACGTCACACACGTATCCTCATGGCCCCTCGGCGTCGTCTATCGACCAAGAAATCTCATGTGCCTCACCGCGAGTCATCTCGCCACGCTGTCGTAATGGTTCTAGGTGATGTGGGTCGAAGTCCTCGGATGCAATACCATGCGCTTTCACTGGCGCGCATGTCTCCAAATCTACGCGTGACGCTCTTGGGCTACGCGGGAGAACGCTGTGTGCTCGACGTGTCACGCCAGGCGAACATCAACCTACTGACCTTCACTCCGCGTCTACAGCGACTGCCTCGAAAGCTTTTTCTGCTATTGGCACCTATTAAGGTTATATTGCAATTGCTGCAACTGCTCTATCTGCTGCTAGTGACGGTGGGCAGTGTGGATCTCGTTTTGCTGCAAAACCCACCGACGTGAGCGACCAATTGGTTGATTATCAAAGGAATGGACACTGGGGTTACTAATAGTCTGAAGGTCGTTGTGAACCATTGTGGTCTCTTTTGCTGGACAGGATCCCGACGTTTGTGGTCGTGTGGCTTGGCTGCCGATTAAAAGGTGCCAAATTCGTCATTGACTGGCACAATTTAGGCTACAGTCTATTAGCACTGTCTCTTGGTAGTGAACATGTTCTAGTCAAGGTACGAAGTAGAGTTGATATTTGATTGATGGTGCTTTTGAAGCTGATTTTTGGTGTGCTTTGCTGATTTTGTCTGTGAAAAGATCGCTAAGTGGGTCGAGCGCGTGTTTGGACGCAAAGCTGATGCCAATTTGTGTGTCACCTACGCGATGCAGGCGTGGTTGAGAGAGACTTGGAAAATTGAAGCTACGGTGCTGCATGACAAGCCTCCGCACTTTTTCAAACCCACGTCGCTTTATACTCAACATGAGTTATTTGCGCGTGTGGGAGATCAGCTCGAACATTGCAATGATGTTCGTACAATAAGGGTTTTTGTTTTCGCATCATATCAAATTCGCTAATTTCGAAATGTCTGGTTATGCTCGTAGCTGGTGACGTGGGGACAGAACGCGGCTAACCTGGAGGAATCACTTCTTACACGCAAGACTCGTGGATTTAGCGGCAAGAAGAGCAAAGGTGTCGTAAAACCTCGTGAAAACCGACCAGCTATGATCATCAGCTCTACGAGCTGGACAGCAGACGAAGACTTTGGCATTCTGCTGGCAGCACTGGAGCTTTTAGACAAGTGTACGTCGTTGCTGAGTGTGTCCGAATTCCCGAATCTGCTGGTTGTGGTGACGGGCAAAGGGCCTCAGAAGGAGATGTATCTTGAGAAGATCAGACAACTAGCCTTCAAGCGCATTCGGATTGCTACGATGTATGGTGCTGTTCTGTGGAATGACGAACAAAGAGGCCTGCTTCTGACAATTTGCCTGCTTTGTAGGTGGCTCGAAGCCAGCGACTACCCACTTGTTTTGGGTAGTGCGGATCTGGGTGTATGCCTGCATACTTCCTCATCCGGCCTGGATTTACCGATGAAAGTATTGGATATGTTCGGTTGCGGCCTTCCAGTATGTGCTATTGGATACAAGTGTCTAGATGAACTTGTGAAGCACGACAAGTACGTTTGTCGAGCTTTTACAGTTTCTGTATCGCTTGAGTCGTCGTCTCATCTTATCGTTGCATAGGAACGGTCTCGTTTTCGATTCATCAGAGCAGCTTTCTACCCAACTTTACAATCTACTAAAGGGCTACCCGACGGACACTGCGCAGCTCAACCGTCTCCGGTCATCATTAAAGACTATCGAGGTGACACAATTCGATACATTTATATTTCCTTTGAACTTCCACACTAATTCTTTATTTTCTTACTAGCACTGGCCGGAAAACTGGAATCGAGTCGCCGCGCCATTGTTCAAAACGCTACTTCAGATGTAGCCATCCATACATGGCTACACGATCTTAATGTCTAATTTTCAGAAAATATAAGACCACCCGTTTTTATTTTACATATACAATAACGACAAGAATGGCGACACCTGGAGGATTCGCGCTTGGCATTTCCCCCGAAGAGAAACTCGCTCTTCCTCTCGGTAAAAAGAGTCGTAACTCTGTCGTATCGATGTACTTCTTCCTCTTCTAATCTTTATAATGAAATGGCTACTGTTACAGACACGTTAATCCAAAAAGGCAAGAAGGAAAACCCCAAAACAAATGCCGTCAAGAAAAAGCAGCAGCAAGTCCCGACGTCTAAGAAGATGCAAACAAATTCCAAGAGCCACAAGCAGCAGAATGTTAAGAAAACAGTACTTGTTCCTGTGTCAAAAGCTGCTGTACGCCGAGAAAGAAGAGAGTTGAGGGGATTTTGAAAGGACCAAAATTGTTGACCTTCTTCTTCCTGTAAACTGTGGACAGCGTGCAAGAGCCAACGCTGCTGTGGCATCGGCCAAGAGACAGACGGTTATCAATACGCGGCGGCCTGGACTTGTGCTGGCCGCGAAGAAGGGGAGAAAGACGGGCCCAATCGTGAAGCTGCGACCGCACAAGACGTCAGTCGCGCGCAAGCAGCAGAAGAAGGGGAACAAATCGACTCAACGAGGACTCGACGTGTCTAACATTATCAACCACTTTCGTACGCACCCGAAAAAGTTTGATGTGCCCAAGGGCAGCAATCTTTGCATCACCATCAAGTACGTTAGTAGATTCTTTTTGAGACGGTGCGAGTTGATTGGGACAGGAATCTTACTTGTAGTTTGTATTATTTTTGTGATAGTCTGAACAATGTCAAGCCTGTTGTTGGAGGTCACAAGTAGTGCGTTTCAGCGTGACACAGTTAGAAATTGCGTTGTGGCGGTGGATTCTAACATGATAGTTACCTTGCTTTTGATTTTAATCGATGCTGAGCTTTGTTGAATGTGCTGACATGGTGATGTCGACAATGATCAGTGAAGTTGCGGTACTGTCGAAAAAGTCGACCCTCGTACTTCAAATGGACACGATGCTGCATCATCATTTGTTCTCGTAGCTCGCCACGATCAGTGACCATCGCTTAGGGCCAGAAGATCTCTGCATGGGTACGAAAAACAATGTGATTTATGACATCGCGGATCGTTGAAGGACGAGCTGCAAATGGAGAGCGCGTACAGAACGCATGCTAGTCTGACGAAATTGATAGCAAAAGTGTTAGACACAAACGCCCTCTTATCCTATGGGTTTACGATTGACAAAGACGATGCAATCTTAGTGACTGTATGGTGCGGGTCTCTACAATATGTAGAGGCTAATTTTGCGTCTCGGGAATCACACGCTGGAGCCACTTGGTAACATCGTCCAGCTCTTCCATGCAGGCACTATGCTCCATGTCCGGGTACGAGTAGAACTCCACATTCTTCACGCCCGCCGTTTCCAGCTTCACCTTGGACATTTTGCCGTAATCAAAGCGCACGACCGGGTCCTGCTCGCCGTGGCACATGAGCAGCGGCACATTTGCCGTATCTGGGGTGAGTTGGAACGACTGTGTCGACCGACACAAAACCAACGTCAAACCAAACTTGTGTCTTCATAGTTCACTCCAACAGACCTAAAACGTACGTCGTAACGCGGAAGATATCCCGACATTGCAAGGATACCACCAAGCACTATCTTGGTCTGATAGCCCGAAAACATCGACAATGCCGCGCCTTGACTGAATCCTCCGAGCACAATACGCGACGAGGGAATACCTTCAGCCACCTACGATAAACAAACAGCATGACCAGTGTAATAACAATTTTACGAGCAATGACAGTCATTTTGTATGCACTACACCCACTTCTTTTTCAATAATAGTCATGATGCGATCACGGGAGGTGTCAATTCCATCGGCATTACCTCCATCCACACGACCCAAAGACTTGATATCATACTACACAAACCAACCCCCACACTTTTATAAGTAAATACACTTGATGATCCCTCTTTTTTACAACTTATCATCAACGTACCCATGCAGGCATTTGCATTCCCATATTAAGCGTTACTGGCATTGACGAAGCTGATAATAAAAACGTGAGATATCCCAAAAATCGGATATCGTTAGTCCAATGATTCCCTTAAAATCTCAATTAACAATATCGTTTACCCGTAGGCAACACGAATTTTACATGTGGCAGTTTCTTAGACAAAACCTCCATAGCATCACTCCAACCGTGGCCCGTATCTCCGAGGCCATGCAAGAACACCAACTGCCATGAAAAAACATTTTTTAGGAATTTAATTCTAGTATTGCAAGTCAAAGAAGAAGGGAAGAACCAACGGCAGCAGTGGGGTTTTCTGGAGACAGGACAAGGTTATTGTATGCATCCGTTATCATGCAGCTTGTACTCATAGTGGTGATGCTTCGTTGGAAAGATTTACGAATGGTGGTGAGATAGCGTACAAGCATTTAATGAAGTTGATGACCTATCTTTGGATGTGGTGTGGTGCACATTATCGATTCATTTAGGAAAGTTGATTTTACATTCTATTTTGCGACGTTTGCTCCTTTTGTAACGGGGTTACACGACGGTTGTAGCGTCTTTCCGAGAGTTTACGGTTAAACTCCGCTTTGTATTGCATATAATGCATTATTATACTTCTCTTTAGAGAGGTATTAAGTATGAGCGTTAAGATACGGTATTCGGTAATACCGTATCTTATCGATTGGGATTCGATAAATCACTAACGCTGTATTAAGTACATCATACACAGATGTTTAGACGATACGTCGTTCAATAGCAAAGTCTGCATATTATATTTACTATTATAGTAATTAATCTAGCGTAGTGTACTTAAAGTAGGACTATTCATATAATCTTAAAGCATAAATAAAATCAGTTCTCCTTTTGAGTTTAAGATCGCAAGTCGTTCTGACTTTTTCTCTTGTGCACTTCGTGCGTTGGTTCTCTGAACCTCTAAGCTCTAGCTTGTTCTTGCACTCTGTGCGTTGGTTCTCTAAACCTTAAGCTTATTGCTTGTAGACTAAAAGTCTCTCCTACTTCCTTAGAACAGGGTGACTTTAAGTCGTTTAATTAGTTCCTTAGAACTAAGTGGCTTTTAGCCTTAACTCTATTTAGTTCTCTAGAACTAAGAGGCTTCCAGTCGAAAGTCTTCCTCTGGCTAAAGAGCTGTGCAGCTCCGCTACACTTGGTAGCACTTGTAGTTAATCCTACACCTGAGTCTTTGAAGACTGACCCTCTGTGAGGATGGAGAATTAAAATCACCTCTCTGAGGCACAACGATTCGCCTTAGATAAACTATCGGCGTTCGTCGGGCCCGATCAAATCGAGGCCCTTTTGGCGCAAGGCCCCGAGGTTCTAAATGCTCGTCTTGAGGCCTTTATGCGTTATGAAGCAACGCTCCTCGGGCAGGTCCATGACCAGGCAGCGTCAGCTGCGCCTACACAGTACATCCCGGTACCTGTGCCCGATGCAGAGCCAAAGGCTCGCCCACTTGTTATAAACGTAAAGACCTTCGAGGGGAAGGGGGGAGAAAATCTTTTCCTCTGGATCCGAGAAGTTGAAATGGCAATGGATGCCGCCATGCTTGTATCAGATAAGCAACGAGTTGGCTTGGCCATTTCGAAGCTTGGTGGAAGAGCTAGAGAGTGGGATCTAACGAGCGATGTCTCTGTAAATGCTGCATTTTCCACATGGGAAAATGCTTTAAAAGCAATTAACTTGTGTGTTTGTACCGCCTAATCAGGCTTATCGTGTGCGCTTACGTTTCTTAGCTACCTGACAGGGTAAGAAAGAATTGTCGGACTATGTCCAAGAGTTGAGAACTCTCATTGCTGCTATGCAGCAGGACCCACTGGCAGAGGAAGTCCGAGTAACCATTTTTATGGAAGTACTTCGCACTGGGGTCGCCAGGACGGAAGTTTTCCGTATCCAGCCTTCGACGTTCGAAAAGGCAGTAAGCATAGCGTTTAACGCTGAATTTAATTTTAAATCTGCTCGATATGGTCTGCCAGGGTTTCGGCTCTGCCGATTTGAACGTTGCTTTCGCAACGGGAAACTAGGGCGGAGATGCCTAGTGCTTCCGCACATGTAACATCTACGGATGTTACCTTGCTGCTCAGCAGCTTGAAGCTCAGCTATTTTCGCTTGACTGAGGTCCATGGGTTCCGCCCTGTTAGAGGTATTTGGTTGATACCAGGGCTCCTAGCCAAAAGGCGAGCACCGCAGGGGAAAACGTCAACTCCCAGTAGGCGCGGGGCGCCCTACTGGGAAAGAACTAAGTTCTATCGGTTAGGAGGTAAAGGTAAACAGGGCTTAGCCCCAGGTGGTTCTGTGGATGCTTCCATTGTACAAGATTACAAGCCAGGCTTGTTGGTTATGTCGACAACCGTTAAGGGTTTGGAGAAAACATGGTTAATTCTAATTGACTCAGGGGCGTCAGGTACTTATGTCTGACGTCGTTCCCTTGAAGGGAGCAAGCTGTATGCTGAGGCGCTAGAAGCGCAAGAGGGTGATAGTATAACCGTACGCCTCGCGACAGGTGTACGTGTCACCGTCCCTAAAGTTCCGTTGAACTTAAGTGTGAAGTTCTTAGACTTCAATAGCGTTGAACGCTGTATTGTCCTAAATTTGGACTCGAGATATGATCTCATTCTCGGTTTGACCTGGATGGAACGCCATGAGCCATGGATCGATTGGAGATCCAAAACCTTAGGCGCAACGCGCAATGTTCCTAGCGAAGCTTTGAAGAGTCATGAACCCACCTTCGCTAAGAAACAAAAGCGCTTTTGACGCGAGTCAATTACTGAGTAAGCTAGTGTGCTGGACATTGGAGTGTCAGAGTTGATAAACTCCAATGTCAACAAAAATCGTGTCGAGCAGAGCTCAGTGACACCTAGTGGGAAGGCACGTACTCCGTTGAGTGATACTCAAAGTAATATCGAGACACTGGATGTCGGTAATGACATCGGTGCTGACATCGGCTCTTGTATAGAGCAAGTTAAGGTCGATGACCTTGTTAGTGATATTGGCTGTAAATGCGATTCACTGGATGTCGGTAATGACATCGGCTCTCGTATAGAGCAAGTGAAGGTCGATGACCTTGTTAGTGAGGTCACTGGTACTAGTGCCCCACTGGATGTCGGTAATGACATCGGCTCTCGTATAGAGCAAGTGAAGGTCGATGACCTTGTTAGTGAGGTCACTGGTACTAGTGACTCACTGGATGTCGGTAATGACATCGGATCTCGTATAGAGCAAGTGAAGGTCGATGACCTTGTTAGTGAATCCACTGGTACTAGTGACTCACTGGATGTCAATATTGACATCAGCCCTCGCATAGGGCAGGTAAATGACAAGGGGTCTGTTGACCTTGGGGATGATAATATCCCAAGTACTTTGGAGAGTACGGTCTCGTCAATGAGACGGCAGCGTCGCCAGATGGCGGCTGCGAGACGCAGAGCGTCTGTTTTATCGCATAGTAATGTCAGTGACCAGTTGTATGCCCTGGTCAAATTCAGAGTTCATCTGCTGGGCTAAAGGCCTTTTGTGATCTATACCGATCATGCGTCGTTACGCACTGCGACTAAGTCTCCGCATCTCTCGCAGAGAATGGCCAGATGGCTGTCATTCTTTGCCGAATATAATTTTGAGGTGATATATAAGCCGGGCAAGCAAAATGCTTTGGCTGATGCTTTGTCACGCAGACCTGACTATGAGCTTGCTCATGTGACGACGTTGTCGTCTTCTATCATTGATCTCATTCGTACGGCGTATGATAAAGATGATCACTGTATAGCGTTGCTACATGCTCTTGGCAGTGATGAGTTTAAAGACTCGGACATTAAATTGTCGGCACGATTACGTGCGAGCCTCCATCGATATTCTATCGATGAGGGGCTGTTGTACTATCGCACAGGTGTGGCGGATCCTCCGCGTATTGTGGTTCCTCATGACGAGGACCTGAAGTATCGTGTCCTCTATGAGGTACATGACACCGCCATTGGGGGTCATTTGGGTCGTGAAAAGACCTATGGGGCAGTATGCCAAAGTTATTGGTGGCCCAAATTATATAAATGGGTGAGCACATATGTGCGTACGTGTGAAACGTGTCAACGGGTGAAACACTCGCCCCATTCGGCAGCGCCGCTGGCTAGTTTGCCTATTCCCACTGGATGCCGGGAGTCCATTAGTATGGACTTTGTATTTGGCCTACCGAAAGATTCGCAAGGCAATACAGGTATTGTGGTCTTTGTTGACCGCTTGAGCAAGATGGCTCACTTAGCGGCTGTGACAGACTCGATCGATGATGTGGGTACAGCGGAGCTGTTTATCGATCGTGTGTTTCGCCAACATGGCTTGCCAATGGCAATTGTTTCTGATCGTGATCCTCGTTTCACGAGTAAATTTTGGAAGTCCGTCTTCCAGGTGCTGGGCACCCGTTTGGACATGTCCACAGCGGATCATCCGCAGACCGATGGTCAAACCGAACGCGTGAATCGCGTTGTTGAAGTTGACTCTGCAGTGTTTGTGCTGAACGCCTAAGCGATGGAGCGCTATGCTCCCTGTAGTTGAGCTTACACTCAATAATTCCGTGCACGCCTCTACCGGCTACACCCTGTTCTATGTCAATGGTCTCACACACCCACGCGTTCCGTTAACGCTACCACCGAGTGGTTCAGGGCTTGGTGGGGGAGAGGTTGACGATTGGCTTGCTGATGTCAGCCCTAATACTGTTAAGAAACAGGTAAATGCGTTTCTCGCAACGTGACTAAATGTCTTACGACATGTGCAAGATGCAATGGCTGATAGTCAAGATAAACAAAAAGAATATGCAGATGCTAAAGGCAGATGCTAAAGGCAGAAGCTGTATTAATTATTATGAGGTCGGAGACCAAGTACTACTTAATGCTAAAAATCTACCTCCCAATGTAGTATCTGCTGTCTTTAAGACAAAACTGCGTCCGCGCTTCATCGGACCCTTTACGGTCGTGGCCAAGGAAGGCTTAGCGTATAAGCTTAATCTGCCTCGCAAATTGCGTACACTTCCTGTGTTCTATGTTGGCATGCTCAAACCATATCAGGATCCGTCCCAAGTAAACATTAAGGCGCTCGCGCCGACCCATTGGCATTGTCGCGGGACGAAGCATCTGCGCCAACAGGTCAATCTGACCCTTCATTCGGGTCCGACTCTCTTCCAGGGACTCAAGCCGGGAGTTCATCGCCTGCCTCTCCTCACGGAGGGACCGCACCTCTTGAAGAAGCTCGGCATGAGCTTGTGCCGATACACCGGCCTCCTCCGGCTTTGCTTGATGCGCAGGGGAACCTACAGTTCCATGTGGAGCGTCTACTGCAGAAGCGTCGCCGCCATGGTCAACACCAGTATCTGGTA